TCGCTTTTCCGTGACGTTTTAAAGGAGACGCACAAAGAGTCTTCCTCAGTTGTCAACTTAGAATTCTTCTCAGTCTTCGGTTAGGCACGCTTACTAGGATTATTGCACACCAAACATTCATACGTTTGTCTTAATGACACTATGCTTTAGTGGAATAGAATCTCGACACCTATGCATAAAGCAGGAGTCTCGGATTGTGGTATCATCATTTGTCACTGTATCAATCACTGAATATCCAAATGGTGGGTGAACTTGCTGGAATCCAGAATAAATTTCTGGATGGCTTGGAGCACACCGTGACCGGACGGACTATTATTCGTGAACAAAAGCAGAGCATGTGTGCTGACAAGAGTGCTCGGTGGACCAGTCGTGCTCAAGAAATGGATAAAGCGGAAACGATAGGTGATTATTTTTAGCTCTTATATCTGATCCGAACTACTGGTTCCAGGAAACTATGCATCACTGAGACACTCAGAGAGTGGAGGTGCATTCATCCACAATAAGGTGGGACGTATGACTCGTTGGGCAGAGCATTCTCAAGCTCAACTCAGTTGTCTCTCTGCTTCTGGACCTCTTATTACTTATATGTTGCAGGCTAAGCCATGGACGTTTAGCTTAGTGGCTCCATCGGAGGCTGAAATCCGAAATACGTTCACAGCCCTCAACCGTATTTTTACTGCTGGTCTGAATTCACTCTCACCTGCAGTGTTTAAGGACGGAGGTAAGGTTCTCTGCGAAAAAGTGACCTCTCTATTTGAACAGGTCCAAAGGGGAGCGACCATCCCTGATAATTGGAGTGAGTGGCTTATAATGGTAACGTACAAGATGGATTGTCGCACCGAGTATGCTAACCAGAGGGGTATTAGCCTAACGCCAGCTGTGACAAAATTGTTGGCCTTAGTTTTCGTTCTTCGCCTCACTGCGGAAAGGGAATACCGGATTGGGGAACAGAAGGCAGGTTTCCACCCATGTCGGGGCTGTATGGAGCAGATATTCAATCTGCGGCACGTGCTAGAGCAGCGTCACGCATATCGCAGACCGAAAATAGCTGTCTTCCTCGTTTTTAAGAATGCGTTTCACTCAGTCTATTGATACATTCGATTCGAGACACTTGCGTGGAGAAGTATTCCAACGAAATAAGTGAACATTTTGCGTGCCATATACTTGAACATCGTAGGCTGCGTCAGGGTCTACGGTGAACTATCAGATATCTTTCCGACATCAAGTGGCGTTCATTAGGGTTGCCTAATCTCCACATTTTTAGCAACATTGACTGTTCCTTTACAGATTCTCACAATGCACGCGTTTACATGCTGCCTGGTGAAAGGCTAGCGGATTTTGAATATGCGGACGATATCGTCTTGCTATTTAACCATATTGGGGCGACGGAATCAACCCTGAATAACCTGTTTTGAGAAGTCCCATTGTTTGCTGCGCGTTTGACACCTTCAAATTGCAAAGTGTTGCTGCAGGAACACCAGCAATTTGATGACCCATTGACCACTGATAGTGAGGAACTCGAGGTAGTAGCTCAATTCATTTGCCTTGGAAGCAGCGTCGGCAACGACCTGCACATAAGCGCTGAAGTTATTTCACTTAGTACAGAAGCCAGATCTCTTTGCTTATACCTGTGACATTTTTGGTGTCAGAGAGAAGTTTTTCTTGGTTTGTAAGATCGGTGTCTGCAAGGCCACAGTGAGGGCCGTCCTACTTTAAACGAGTGAGACCTAGCCCCTTCGACCTGAAGATTTGAGGTGCCTTCAAATCCTTGATTATCACCGTCTGTGGAGCATTGCTGTTTTCGAGTGACACCAGCGTGTCTGCAACGATGATGTGCATAGGCTAGTACTAGGCGGTGATAAACAAGTTAGTTCCTTAGAACAACTGATGACACTGAATAAGTAGCGGCAACTTGAACACGTACTATGTATGCCCGATCACCGCTTGCCGCGCTGGGTCTTGTTTTGTCTACCAGATGTAGGGTAACGCAAGACCCGAAGTGGACAAAAGTTGACTTCGCAGACGGAAAAAATATTACTGACGACCAAACTCGATGCCGTCGGTTCACCTTTCCCTCCAAGCTGCAGTTCAAGTGACTCGCCTTGTACTTGGTTCGAGATGTTACAGAATACGGTTCGCAGTCGACACCAGTGACGTAACTGCTGCCGACTCCTAGTCAACTGCCTGTTTATAGTGTGTCTGATAATAAGTTATCTTAGGGGCAATGGTTGATTGTGACGCTGGGAAGTGAAAGTCGCCAAGAACCTGTCTCGTTGATGCCACCTTATGTTTGCAAGATTGTAGGTTGTTTGTGGCTGTATGTGCTTGACAGTTTGTAGGAGCCTTGACTCTTAATGTTCGTTGAGAGCATTAAGATTTTCTGTTTAGGACCCTTATCCCCTCGAATTATTTTTCCATGGTTGTATGGCAGCGAAGCGTAAGTACAACTGTTATTGTTGATGATGGTGATGATGCTTCGCATGCCTCAGGCATTTGCTATCGCCAGTCCAGCATTGGGACGGATCGGTAAGTTTATCCACGAACGGCACTTGGAGCTTAGCGTAGAAATATTTTTCCAACTCAATTCGGGTTGAGTGCAGTGTCTTCAGGGAAGATCTAGCGAGAGATTTCACCTCAAAATGATTGCTTTATTGGATGATCACGAGTATATCAACGGTGACTTTGATTAGATGTGGGATTTTCAGTCGAAGAGCACGTTTAAATCCGGTGTGGACAACTGAAATCTACATGCTTACATCTACAGGCCCTCCTAGGAATACGAACTTGGTGGGCTAGTGCAGGGCGATCTCGCGTGTTCCAGATAGTGTGAGTGCGCTTGAATAAGAGGCAGCCAGAATGCTGCTCTCTTGCAGAGGGCACTCGGGAAGTTGGATTCATCCAATCTCTTTCTGATATGCAATGTCCACCTGCGTCCTTACCTCGAATACGTTATCCAGACGTGACAATAATGGTTAAAACGCGACCTCGCAGCAATCGAGACCACCCATATTCAAGCAGCAAAAGAATGTCATGGGTTTGCTGCAATTTCCTTAGAAAGAATAGTCGAAGAAACTCGGAGGTTCCAGTAGACGTTATCGGAGGTTGCGTGGAGACCTCGCAGTGGTACACCATGTACTGAATTGTTCTAATTGCCTATGCGGAAGCCCTTGCAAGCTCTGCTCGAAAACTACTCTTGGAGGTTATAGTCTGAAATTAAACCAACAGTATAGTCATCAATATTGTCGACAAATTTGCATTTACTTTCAGGCCCGCCAATCATTGAAGGTCTTTTTAAATTCTAACATTTGAGCCCCATCTTAAACACATGCAACCAACGTTTGACTATCGCACTTAACTGATTTTACATTGTTATATAAGCTAACACGCTGGAATTGATCCCCGCTGTTTGGTGGCTTTGGATTTATAATCTACCTTGCTGCAAGTAGTCGGAGTCTGTAGGTAGGCATTCCGGTTCTTATTTCCGCGAGGCGTTAGATGTACTACTTCACTTTGCGGGTTACACGTTACCATTCCAGGTCAACAAGATTGCTGGGGACATAGCACTATCTCACTGTTTTACTTGTTTGCCTGTATGCTCTCTTCTTATGTGTTTCCCTCCATGATCAAAATACGAGAAGTGCTATCCAAGTGTATTTCACCCGTTATGAAACATTATTCTACTTCTCCATAACCATGGTATCAACAATAAGAGAATGATGAGTACCATCACGTCACTGGATTGTCAATTCTTCCAAACAACGTAATGCAGAACCCGTCTGTAGTTTGGTCGGATGAACTTGAGTGCAGAGTTGGAAATTCCGGACCATTACCAGAACAAGTCTGCGAATTTATCGGCTTTGATGTTGGTGTGGCCTTTCCACGTTATATGAGCGTTGCATATCCGCAGAGGAAGTTTGTTATATATATATATATATATATATATATATATATATATATATCGTAAAACAAGTCAACGTATTGTGTTATGTGCCGAACCAAGAGCGCACAACTTCAGTGTAGCCATGAGAGCTAAGGGCTACCCGTGCTGCACCCCTTGGACTTATACAGAAAGGCGAAATGTGCAGAAAAACTGGTGGCACAACGCTAGCGATGCGAGGCAATCTAACGTTTGACTAACATTTATACGACTTGTGCATGTGCTTGGCAATGTGTTCCGTCCATCAATCGATGAGACAGTGCACACACATCCTGGCGCGGCCCTGGTTTTATGCGAGACGCTTGTTAGATGCCTTGGTTAAAATTCCCCCAGGTTGCTTACACTCAGATATATTGTAGGCCTTAGCTGGTTAATCAATGCTGGAGCGCTGGTAGCTGATTATACTTTATGGCGACTTGCCTATCATAGCCTACTCTTATCAACACAAAGTAAACCAGAGCTGCATTAAAACAGTAGGCTTGTGGAACCAAACGTTTAGTTGAAATATAGTATCATGTTCTATATTTCTCTAGGTATGCTAAGTGGATGTTTGTGAGCCACAATAAATGACATGAGGCACTTTTGGAAACCTCACACGGGACAAAACACCAGTTCTAATCTAGAAAAAGGTACTGCATTTTCAAATGAGTAAAACACTGTGAAATTTGGTTAAAATTTCTGAGCAGTCATTACATTCATCTTTGATTTTACGTCTTTGGTACCTACCACAATTCACTAGGTCTGGTACTTTTTCCTAAGACTGATCCAATTCGAGCGAAAATCCCTCCCTATTAATTGCAGTTGTGTTTAGCGGCTGAGGCCATTAAAAAAGGATTTAGTTCATATGAGTATACTTTGCTCCAATAAAGACAGTGTGAGTTTTACTACATCCAGAGACTAAAAGTTGTCACATACTCTCTTTCCTTTATTTACTGGTGATTATGCAAAAAGTGCTGGTAAAAGTAAAAAAACATACTTAATGAAAGAATGAAGGGATACGATTTTCACCGAAAATGTCTCTAAGGTTAATATTTCGTTTTATTCATTTTATTTGTGAGCTTACCTTCAAAGTGCGATGGAGTGCATGGTTCCCGATACTATAACAGTGCCCTTAAAAATATTTTGTGGAATTGAAATTGAAATGGTAGCCAGGAAGACGAGAAAAATGACACAGTCTGGAAAAAGCTAAAAAAACAAAATTAGCGGATTGGGTCAGCGCACGTATCAGAAACCGCGGATGATACTAATTGGGTAACCAGGCCAAAATTTATTAGCACAGCTGACGTCGAATTTAAATAATATGTAGAAAACCCTGTCTTATATAAGACAGCTGTGTTAGCACATAAATGTGTGTTTAGCAACAGGATGCACGAAACGCCAATTTCCCCTAATTCTCTTAGTCGAACGGAATCCCGTGGTGGTGTGCATATAGCGCGCATTTTCCCTGAACCCCTAATAAAATGCTTGTTATCCATGGAGGTGCATGGCTGGAAAATGATTTAAAAATTTTATAAGTGAAAGTAAAACATGTTGGCCCGCGAAGTTGCAAACAGAATGTGGAGCACTTATTTGATAGTTTTCAAGAGCAGTGTACCGTCCATTTGGCTATCACTTCAACTGCTTTCCATAAGATAGCATAAGATATCAAATTCGATCTTTAGCTGCTGTTCAATTTATCTTGAAACAAGTTATGCTTCACAACAAATGTTCACCTTGGGATACTGAAATACACATCGCGACATCATGTTCAAAGGTATTATCTTGACGTATTATTAATGTATTATTATTAATGTATTGTTATCAATAAGATATTATTATTAAGGTATTATCTTGACGCTGTCAAGTGAAACAAGAAACAGGTATGCTTTACTCTCTTTATTGCCGAGTGCCAGCATGATGTTAATTGGACCGCATGTATTTCCTGTAACACCATAGCACCAGTAAAATATATGCTTAGGTTGCTGTCGCAGCGCGGTGGTGTGATTTGTACCAGGGTTACAGACATTGGAATGCAATATTTCAAGCCAGGATCGTTAAGTACTGCAAATCTTTTATACGCCGTGTTGGTCTAGTGTTAGTGGAAAATGGTCCTTTTTTGCCATCTTGAACTTGATTGACCTCTAAATTATTTGACGGCTAGTTGCACAATATAATGTTTATTTTTCTACTGATTCAAATTCCGTTGCAATTTGCGACACGAACACGAAAATATTAGCTAACAATAACGCAGTTGCTGTCCCGACTCCCTTTAGCAACACACGTAACAACCTAATATCAGGGTGTTGCTCTTCCCAACACTGGTGCAATTATCGAGGTTTACCTCAAAGTGAGCCGAGGTCACAATAGAGGTTGCGAGTCACAACCAAACCACACAGCGTGCTCCCTAAATTCAGCTTTGAACCTAATATCACTTCTTAGTAAAACAAAATGAAACTCAAATTAAACAGCAAGCGTGACAAAGAATTCCCGGGCATAACTAAGAGTTAACTCATAGTTACCCCTCCTGTTCAGTATGATAATAGTAAATGTTTAAATTCGAAAACAAATATGCGCAAAGGCTCCGTCAGTGTTCGTGAATTCTTAAGTTAAATGTCCGTTTTATCCGTCGGTTCTCTGTGTACGGCAAGCACAGTTGGTTAGGACACATTGCTACATTTTGGGGAGTGAGTGCCATTGTACAAATAAAGGAGGCATATGTATATATATTCATATATATATATATATATATATTTAATATGACAGAAGGAAATAAACAAAGACGGTCCTTTTCACAATTTACACGGAACATTTTAGAATACCAAATAAAAGGAAATGGATCAAAATTTTGAGAAATGATAAACAATAGATACCTGAGTGATTTTGTCTGGTGCTAATTAATATCGCCACATCAAAACGGGAAAGAGCACTTATTCAGTTGGTGGGGTGCCCCTAGGCATAATGAACTGCTTGTGTAGAGGAACTATTTTGTGACCTACACAATCCCTAGGAGTTATCAGTCTAGGCTCGCAAGTGCTTCACCTTTACTATATATAAACATACGTCTAAATCTTACGGGTTGCTGCTGGTGAAGAGGTATACGAAAACTAGTTTCATGGTTCTTCTCATTTATTAAGTGGCACTAGTAAAAGAGTAACTCGCACACTGGACGCAGATTGTACGGGATAAATTCGTCATCCTCAAGTATCAAATGAGGAGCAATGCTTATCAGAATCGCTGGTGTTATAATAGGGTTTGTTTTGAAGCACCTATTTTAAATGACACTTTAAAACATGCTTAAAACACATCAGTGATTTAAACTCATCGTTGGCATTAGGTTATTGTTTCGACAAGCTACCATATACGTTTCACTGTACAAAACCATAACAAAAAGATTCTATTCACTTTCCATGGTAAACGAGCTAAGAGAAATTGGAAAACATACACCTTCTGAGTTCAGGTCTAAGCGCCCGTTGTGTGAGTGGAATGCGACGCGGGTATTCCGTGGCTAAAAGGTCCAGAGTTAAAGCCCACTACTGGTAGTCCGTGTGTCTAGTGTTGGAATCCCAATCTTGACACACCTGCCGGTTGCGCGCAACAAATTACGGAACGAGTGTTAGAGTGCCGAGATGCAAGAGGGTAAGATGTAAATTTATTGGCTACGCATGCAGCTCCAGTGACCGAATGAACCTTCATTCACTTCACGGCAGAAGCCATGTAACCTAAGTAAACCCGGAAGGCAAGCGTTTTTGAGGAGATCTCCAAACTTCGGAGCTGTAGGAGTTTTACTTTGAATGCTTTATGACTGTTGGTGGCGAAGGTGAATATGAAATTTTATAATTAATGTTATTTCGTAGCACTGCGAAAAACATCGAAATTGTCAATCTGGATCTAGCACATTTGGAAGGGTGATGGCATTGTAGCTATACCATGTGTACGTTTTGTAATACATTTCTAACCATAAAGGGTTATTTCCGGTGTCGCAGCGTTTGTAGATACGCATGTGTGTTCAGCCTCCTCGTTTCATCCCACTGCATAGCTGCGCAGGTAGGCTGTGACGTGGTTGTTGTTCATTCGCGGTCATTATGACCCATATCCCATTCGTGGGGTCGAAGTAGCATTCCAAGACGATGACTTCTACTTTAGTTGTCAGCATCTACTCCTTCTTTAAAATGTGCTAGGGGATTCCATGGATCTACGAGGGTGTAGGAGCTGCAATGGCTATGGGGCACTACGCAGCTGCGCTCAGCTGTTTGCTGTAATCATGTGACTGCATTCATTGGTAGACAAACTAGTGGATTTAATAGGGGGTGCTTAATGGATAAACGGACGATTTTCTTGTTTTCCTAAACCTGGTTAATAGAAACCATTAAGCCCGTCATTCATCATCATTACTTAAGGTCGTGCTGGCAGAGTGAAGACCAAGTCGCCACTAACCAAAAAGTTGGAAAATCCTCATATACGGCAATATCTATTTATGAACTCTACAGAGGTGCTCGCGGAAGGTCATAAGCGTTGATACGCCCTCGGATTGGTTGTCGAAATTCATAAATTCCATGGCACACTCCCTTTCGCATAAGACTAAAACTTTACGCAAACATTGTGAAATATTTACGACTTTACATAAACATTCTACGGATTTTCTTAATGTGTGCTAGCAGGTGGGTATAAAATTGACCGTCTTGTGTGTCCACATGGCGAAGTGAGCTTGCATAGCAGGTGTCAGATTCAGATTCAGAGGGGACTGGAACCATAGAAAAATCCCTTGAGTGTTCCTTCTTGAGCGGATCGCTGAGCCATGAAATGATAAGGTAATACGAGGACTTGCTGGATCTAAACCGAAACACCCGAACGACACCCTGGTCAACCAAGCAAGCCCACCTTCCCTGCACTAGCAGTCCCCGCTGTGTAGGTCACTTGAAGTAAGGAAAACGTAGAAAGAAAATGGAAGGTAAAGAGGAAGGAAAGTTAATTAAACGAAGGATACTATCAGAGTGAGGAGAACGACAGAATAAGAAGTCAAAGTTGGAAATGGATATGCTGAGGAGAAGGAAAAGGTTTCGTGTTGCTACTCAAGTGCGTCTAACTGACGCTCATAGCCCTTAGTCGTAGGTTCACTGACTACACTTTCTGGAAACGAGTTCCAGCGCACTATAACTCTACGCGATAACTGAGTTCCCGCTCTGATCCGGTCAGAACGCTGCTTATGTAGCTTCATGGGATGACCGCGAAGACAAGGCAACCTAGCCGGGCTAAATAGCTAGCGCAAGTCCAGTCCAACCTTTCCTGCTAAGCTACGGTAAGTAAGGATTTTCTCTTCAATGTCGTCGATAGTGCATTGAATACGTACCCAAGCTAAGTAGACGATCGGGGTACCATTGCCCCCGTAACCCCTCGATCAATTTGGTACCTACTCTCAAAACCCTCTCGATCTCCATTTTGACCCAAACAAGGCATAGCGGGCAAGCCTGGACGCAGTATTCCACATGGGGCCGGACGAATATGTGTACAGCTTCATAAATATGTCGGCAGTTAATACCCCGAAAGAACGGCTTATTAACCACAACATTCTGAAACTCCTACTTGCGGCCTTCTTCCACTTGTCACCAGAACACAAAGACGAGGTACGGACGGCGCCTAGGTCTACCTGGTTGGAGACAAAGAAGTGTTCGACCTCACTGTGCACGTACTTCGAAGGTGGGAAAGTTGCTCCCATACGAAGGACGGAACACTTAGCCTGATTAATGGGCCGTAGCCACAAAGTAGACCAGTCCTAGTGTCTGTTCATGGGATGCTGAATGGCCTAAGAACCCCCGGGGACATTTACAACATTCCATAGCTTAAGGTCATCAGCAAACAATAGAGATGATGCCCCAAGCTCTCCAGGGAGATCGGTTACGTAGATGGGGGAGAGCATCGGTCCAAGGACTGAGCCCTGTGGGACACCGCTAAGGACCGAGTGTCTAAAGGATAAGTTGTGACCCACACCTACACACTGCTCTCTTCCCTGCAAGAATGCAGATACCCAGTGAATGGCGCGGCCAGATACGCCGTAGGAGCTCAGCTTCTATGATAGTCTCAAGTGGGGTACCTTGTCAAAAGCTTTCGAGAAGTCTACGTAAAGCACATCCACTACGTGGCTATTGTCCACTGCCTTGGTTCAAGCTTCAGGAGCAACCAACAAATTCGTCAGACAAGGAAACCCTTTT